TATTGCTTTGGCAAAATTAAAAGTACTTTTAACAACATTTTAATTGTAAATAGTTGGCAAACCATGAACCAGAGGTGGGTGAGACAGTTAAAATATAATCACCAAGTAGTGGTCTCGGCAATAGATTTCGTATCGTTAGAGGAGGTAAAATTTAAGTTTAATTAAAGTTTATAAACTAGTGAGTTAAAATCAGCGGACGAAAAGCATCTCGTTCAATCAAGTTGTCTCTTCTCGACTCCGTCGCGAGACTTTAAGAATCCTTACATGACCTCCTCCGCTACGTTATCAGTCCCCTCCTAAACTTTTACTCAACGTCAAACACCTAATTAAAAATCTATCCTTCTAGATAGTAAACTCTTATCAAAAGCCATAGTTTTCCGAGCTAGATTTTATAATACAACACTCCGAACACTCGATTCACTTAAACTATCACACCACGTTCCGAATGCCTATCATCCCATTAGGTACTGCCAATTTTTGGTAAACACTTTGAAAAGCACCTGCTTAAGCAAATACTACCCATCCGGGAATACTAATACTCTAATATAATCCCCGATCATCCATTTAGGTTTAGGCGTCCTCACCATTGCCAGTTCAACAGTGCCGTCGTATGGGCGTTATCGCATCCTCCCTTCAGTAGGGGCTGGGCCGGATCTTTCATCAATTCGAACAGGCTTCCGATTGAGTATGACAACTGAGTATACTCTGGATGAGGGATTCCTAGTCTCCACACACTTCCTCATCCTTACACATCACAGGTACTTTAGAGTTTAGAGTAAAGCCAGAAACACACTTACCCGATGCTACGCCATGCGACGCTACCCGATGTTGCCCGACGCAAATCCAAACTCCAATTTTCCATAAGGTTGCATTACCCCCCATCTACCCGATGTTATGCCACGCTAACCTACCCGACGCTCTGCGATGCCCACTGTCCAGATTTTCGTCGGGTCGCATCGAGTACAGTAAAAGAACCGGACACTCATATTTTTAATCAAACTACATGTATTATTGTCGTTATATTAATTACAACATAATTATTGTGCAATATATGTATATATACAAATATATACAAATTAACTGATTAAAAATTAATTAGTTTTTATTTAAAAAAATAATTTTAATGGTTTGGTAGAAAACTAATCAAAACACCGGAATACGATTTTTTGATATAATGAATTTAACTAACAATGTATTCTACTCGCTTCGGCGGTACATATACTAAAATTAGAACAATTTATTACACGGTTTTGCTCATAAAATTTAATTAACAATTTATTTCATTGTTTTGCTCGTAAAATTACACCATTTTGTAATGTCTGGTAGCATCAGAACAGGACTCTCATATTTTTTGTAGTTTATTTCAAACTAAGTACGTGTAATTTTGTCGTTATATTAATTACAACATGTTATTTTAATGTAAACCAAATTAAACGAGATCAAAAATGCATAAGTTTTTATAAACATTGTTTAATTATGATGGTTAGGAGTAACTTTATTTAAAACAATTAAGTTTAACAAACAATTTATTAGATGGTTGTGCTCATAAAATTTAACTAACAATTTATTACAAGGTTTTGCTCAAAATAGTGCATTAAGAACAAAAGATGCGTTGCGATTGTGATAGTGATTATTGTGATAAACGCTGTGGACAGTACGTGTGCTTGCGTCGCATAGATGTGCACACCCCAACAAAACGTGGCCAGGCGTCGGGTAGCGTCGCATGGCGTAGCATCGGGTAAGTGTGTTCCTGGCTTAAAGGTCGGATCTTCTCACTGCCCCTTGTTCATGGAGGCCCGAGGGTTCTTCAGATTGGCGTCCTCTAACCTGCTGATTCCCTTCCCATCCCAACAATACAAAGTCACAAAACATAACCTTAACCCTATGTCGCATCATAACCTCTAATAATATTAGAGCCTGTCACCACCTCCTAACGAAAACATCATCCGCTAACTTGAGCTTTGACTGACAAGTGACTGACCTGGAATCCCCATATAACTTAACCGAAGATACTGGTTACATACTTACAAGGCGACTAGACAACAGATCAAAATTTTCCTCGGGAATATAATCATATAAAAATTAACTGTGAAACGAATATGGCATAGAACCATGGGGTTCAACGAAAGCTTCCAAATGACGCAGAATGAGACCCTCTATCACCTCAACCTCACCAATACTCAATAGAGACCTAATTCTTCCCTTTATAAAAGAAGTTCCAAGATCCACCTACGAAAAATCCCATTCTAACCTTCAACCCTACTGTAATCCTCACGTACGAAAATCCTCTCGATCTCTTCCCTCCCAACGTCTAAAAGGACAGTTGTTTCGACACCTGCTCTCAGAGTGCGAATGATTACACTAAATAAATGATTAAGGTTGATTATTGCTCAATAAAAAAAACCGGGCTGTGATTAACTAGAACCTATTCAATTTCACAATATGGAGGCAATTTTGTTTTATTCATCGTAAAAAATAACGAAGTTCATTCATTATTTCGTGAACAAGAAATAATTATAACGATTCGAATTTAATCAGGCAGAACGACAAGCCATAAACAAACAGCTAGTTTATTAATTGAGAATAGTTTCCTTTGACGTTGGCTATTATGTTAATGTATTTTCAATTACTACATTGAGTAACGAATGAAACAATCAACTTGATACATGCGCCATATTTTCAGATTTGATCGAATCTGAATTTATCAGAACTGGTCGTTGTTAATTTGTATCGTCGGAAGGATCAAAACGGACTGGAAATTTAAATCGATTAACATTTAGAAATCTACTTCTTTCAATAGTAAAAGGTTTTCACAAATTGTCCCAACGTACGAATTATTAGGGACAAATCCCAGCTAGTGGGAAAGAGAGAGAGAGAGAGAGAGGGGGGAACGAGATCTCATTAGGCTTGATAAATTGTGATGTATGCATCACAGAAGTATTGAAAACAGTATCGAGAAAATAATGAATTCAGAATCAGACATACGATTTCAATCCTTCGCTTATATAAATATGCCAACTACAAGATTAACGAATCGAATAAAAGATTTGATTTCTCATTTTCTTTTCTCGATAAACATCCAAATGAACATTTAGTTCGACTTTAGCATATTTGATGAAGTAACTGAACGAGCATGGGCAGTATATAAAATATCAGTAATAGATAATTTAGTACACTCAGAAAAATCAATTTTTACGATAAAGATAACCGAATTATTCAAAAGAACGAAAATATTATTAACAATATTTGCTTTTAAACTTGTGCATTTTTAAATGTATATCTTTACAGAAGCGGTCATATCGATCCCAGGGGTTCAGGAATTAAAAAAGCAATTTGGAAGCACTTTTTATACCTGGACACGTCTAATTAATTTACGTTTATTTTATTTTTAATTTTTGCAAAATACAGAAAAATATGCAGTAGTTGATTTATTTTTATTTTTTATTTATTTTTTGGCCAGATAACGGCTAGGAACACAGTCTTGCTGCTCACGTTTTCTCAATCTCTCAATTTTTTATTAAGTGCCTCTTTCTGTGACGTTTAACCCTTCCACGTTATTGAAATAAAATAACCATTCATACTATTATACTATTAGATGAAAACGACGTAATCTAAGTCTGGCGGGATTTAAGAGTTCTTGATATATTGCAGAAACCTTCCTTATAATTATGCTAAAATTATGAACAACTAAACGGTTGGGAGGCCGGCAATTATTCACGCCAATAAAAAAATTCACTCAGATAAAAAAATCACGCATTTTTTCCTATGTTAACTTAATTGGCTCAACAGTTCTATGTATAATCGATAATCCACACCGTGTCCGCACATAGTCAACCATTCGCGTAAATAAATACATTCACATAATTGGGTAAACAGCAGGTTAGGGTAGTATATTATGCAAGTGAATACCACCTATCAAACTCTTAAACATATATCTGGATCCTGATTATTCGTGTGCAAAGACAGGTCGATACACATAAAAATTTAAACATTCATTCACACAAACGGATAGTCACCAGGATTTTTGATATTATATCAGTGATTCCCCCCCCCCTGACATTGCAAATATATATAAAACTAAATAACCTAAACTATTTCGGTGTGTCTGTCGGTATTCCACACAGACCGTATCTATTCACCACTCACGCAAATAAATGCAATCACATAATCGGGTAGCCATCAGGGTTTTTGGTGTTACGCACGTGACTACCCCTATATATTGCAACTACTACCTACCCCCCCACTCTCTCACTTTATATATATATAAACTACTAAATAACCTTGTCTAGTTTGGTGCGTCTATGAGTCAATATTTCATAACAAAATATACCAAAGTAGACTCCAACGTTCACGCAAATAGATACAATCGTTCAAATTATTTCAACCAATGTAAATAACGGCTATGCGACTAGTATACGTCTATCTGCTTCATGTAATCAATTTCTATTATAATGATTACTGTGCTTCGAAAGTCTGCGCGGAGCTAATTCCTCGCTCTTGCTTAAAGTTTGACCGATTTTTGTGAACTGTTTAAAGGGCATCTACGTGGTCATCGGATATGCAGTAATGTTAATAAAAACAATAACAAATGGGTAAATATTTCTTAAATTCTACCCAGTTTAATTTTATTAAAATAGAAATATCTGCCAAATTAAACGGGGATACAAACAACATCATATATTAACTAAACCCTTTATGAAGGTTAACTAGTTTGTTACAAAGTAATTATACAATAGTTAACTCAAAGAGCAGCTAAGTAAGATTATTTCGCTCCAATGTTCTCTTCATATAATTTAACCATGTATTTGAGCGAAAGGCATTACACGAAACTTAGAAGGGTTTTATTTAGTTTATCAAGGAATACTTGTAAGTTAATACATTGTAATTTATGAAAATTACCAAGAGATGAAACCAGGCGTTCAAATAAGAAGTAGAACAATACTTATTTTATTGTTTTAGAAACGTTGGTATGCTTATTGGGCTTATTTTAATTAACTTACCCTTTTCCTCGTTTCGTAGTCGAGAGCTCCGGCAACGTAAATAGCTCCGGTCATGTTTTTGACAGCGAAGGCACCTCCTATGTTACCGCTCGTGATCTCGTATCGAATACGCGAGGCTGTGAACAAAGAAAAACCATTATTAAGTCAACTGACAGAAAAAAAGAAGATTTGTCTTAAATGCTAGTTTTATTTATTGATTTATTTATCCGTCCGGTGGCTCTGAGTCCCTGCAGAGCGCAGTCTGGGATAGAGATCTACATTTGCTATAAGGACTTATATCGAGAGGGGAAGTTTCTCTTTTCAAAGGAGTAACAATCTGTCCTGTCAATCTTGCCCACACAACTGCGTCTTTGTACTATTTTCGTAGAATTCCGTTTAGTGACATTGCAAAGGAGAAAGACAATGGAAACGACTTATTCTTTCTCGTATACGATTTCTCTGGATAAATCGCCATGAAAAGAATGCGTATACAAAAGAGAGGTATTATCAATCACAAAGCATCCAGCAGTTTGGGATGCGATTCTGAATGTTTGATCAAAGGTTGAAAATGTAATGGATCTATAATAAATACAGACCAACTGGGAAGAAGGAAAAAAAAGGATCTCTCCTCTTTCATCCATCGTCAACAATAACCGGATCTCTTGAAAAAATGAGTAACAATTATTATAGAATTTTTTTGCGTTTTGTTTACGTTGTCGCATTAATATGACAGAACATATTGCTCTTCAGATTTACGTTCTTCAAAATCTGAAGACAAACTAGTACAATATTAACAAATTACAATGATTAAACGGCGAAAAGTTATTATAAAAAAAAGCTTATAAGGAATCGAACCATTTACAGTTTTAACGGATATACGCCCCTGAACAGACGTCAATATTTCAGGATGTTATCGTACATGTCAAACTTGACTAAAACGGCTCTATTGTCCAAAGCCTGATTCTCGATTGAATTCGAGATATTTCACTTTTTATGTTACTTCAACAATTCACAACTTTAACTCTCATATCTAATAAAATGTAAATCCCACTGTAAATTTGATTACACCAATGGAAAGAGCACTGAAAACCATATTTTATTTTTTTCAAGCCAGCTAGCTGCTAAGGTTATTTCGCGTTTTCCCACCTCGCGTATTTTTTAGAACAAACAGAATAAGCTCTTCCGTAAGAGACCTGGCGAACTTTCTGATAACCATATTATTATTATTATTACTATTATTTTGTAGCCTTGAGGAAACAAAATACAAAATCACTTACAAAATCAACTCTTTCCAAGTTTCCAAAGTTCTTGTCAAAAGTTTAAATAAGATATTCTTGGTTCTGTAAGGCAGATATGGCGCATAAACAAAAGTTGCCCTTAGCTGTAAACACATACTTAATTTCTCAAAGGTCTATCACTAAAAAAATATCCATTAAGATTTTAAAACTGCTATTAAACATAATGAAGTAATACAAAAGAAAAACAAAAAGCTTGAGAGCCGTAGAATCTGCCAGGAAACAACACTTGGCATTTTTTAAGAAGGTAGACTTATTTGCCATTTAATTTTACTTCTTAAAGGTTTTTGATTTTTCTTACTTTCACTGTTATACCAAAGAGTCTTTTCTATTTACTTTGTATTACTTGAATTATTTTTTAAATGTAAGTTTCAAACGACTGATTTTTTGTTTAACCGTTGTTAATCGAAAAATCAATTTTTCAATTTAGAAATTAATTTTACATTGGCAATAATTGACTTTTGAGAAATTAAGTACAGTCCATTACTCGGGCCAACATTTTGCGCCGCACAAGCGCTCTATATGCCAGTGTTTATAAGACCTACAAAATCTTACGCAAACATTAGAGAAGTACTTTGGAAACTAGTACATGTTAAACTTCTAAGTTATTTTATATGTGTGTAATGGTAATTGATTAAGTGACCGTTAGTTAATGATCATTTAAAGATCGTGAGATGCAGTTTTGGGGTGATGTAGGTTAGAAGCATTGTCTTTATCGTGGCAACGTTTCGATCTTTATTGAGATCATCTTCAGGGTCTGGGATTTATAAACATTGTTACAAACAACATACAAATACATATAAGATATGAATATGAATTTATACAATGAAATACAAAAAAAGAAATGTTAGGTTTAATCAAAGTATTTGTGCTCACTCTAAGTGTGTGTTGTCTGTGTAGTCGTGTAACTGTGGTGTGTCTCTCGAGAGTACTAGTCAGATTTGAAATCACGAATAAATGAATCTCATACATATTTAATGATCTTTCATTGGTGGTCGATTTATAGTAAAACTATTATTTTATGATACACGAGGGTCCTCATGGAATTAACTTGTGAAAGATTCAAGTAACCTGAAACGTGAAATATCTTGAATACAATTGAGAATCTGACTTTGAACAATAATGACTTTTTATTTCGATTTGCCATCTAAGATAACCTTCTGAAGAATTGACGTTTCGCGACACACTTTATATTGCCACGCTAACGGTTTTGGGTTCAAAACCTGGCACACCACAACACATCTTAATTAATCATAATATTTATAGTGGTTTGGTCTACGATCCCCAACGAGTAGTTTGACGTTAACCCCTCCTAGATGACTGGGATTACTCGAACTTTCTTTTCTCTAACTTTACCTACAAATAATTAAGGTTTTAGTTGAGATAAAAAAGTCAATGGCACGAGCGGGATTCGAACCCACGATCTTCGGCTAGATACGCCGCTTCTCTACCACTTGAGCTATCGTGACCTCGATCCACTCGGACTCGGGGTTGAGATGGGAAGTTAGTGTCCGAGTGGATCGAGGTCACGATAGCTCAAGTGGTAGAGTAGCGGCGTATCTAGCCGAAGATCGTGGGTTCGAATCCCGCTCGTGCCATTGACTTTTTTATCTCAACTAAAAACCCTTAATTAATTGTAAGATATTAATTGTTCAAGCGGACTACGAAATTAGTGAATTTACCTACAAAAATGAATTGTGGGTTTTTGAATAATCAACGTTGAAATAATCTAGGCACCAGTTATGTGATAAATATGAGAAGATATTTTGAACAAGTAGATTAGTTTTTGATTTATGATCTTCATACCCAGTGAAGGCGTATTTTAACCATATTCCCAAATTTACACGACTAATGCACGACCTGTCTTGCAATTTATACCTTGGGATTTGCGATGAGCCTGTGATTAATAGATAGAAGGGGGAGGTATAATTCATTTTAATATTCAATCATGAAAGGATTTAAAGGATAGAACAATCCATACAGGAATATAATAATATTATCCAATAAAATATTAAAAGCGAGGAAATTCTGAAATTTGTTCGTTACCGATCATTTTGGTATGACCATCCTCGCTGGGTCGGTCTGTCATACGCGTTTTTTGTACATGAAAAATGATATAACTTTAGAAATTTGGTTTGGATAAACAGGGTGAGGCAACACAGACCAATCCAGCAAGGATAGGCGAACCAATATGATCGGTATCGTCGAAATTTCAGGTTCATCACTCTACAGACAAATCTTCAAAGAAAAAAAATTGCTGAAGTTAAGGCAGGTAAATTGATTGTTGAAAAAAACTTTCGTAATTTCCAAAGAATTAACGAGCTAATATTGGACCATTAAAATTCATCTTGCTTTATTCATTTAATCGCTTGAAAAAAGTAGCCAATTAAATTGTTTCAATAACAATTGCCACGTGTATGATACATAAAACAGACAATGATCTTATATTCAGTGCCCATTATTAAATATAAAGTTTAATCTTAGAAGGCTAGAGAATGTAATATTTCTCAATAAAAACTAATGACCATTTGAAAAAGGTAGGAGTATTTTCATTTCATTATTTTCAATCGTTTCCGTAAACAATATAGATAACATAGAATAATAAATTAATTTTAAATTAATACATTAGTACAATATACAAAATTATTGGCCAAAGCTAATGAGCACGCATTACTAATTAATTATAAGCGCTAATGAGTCTGACTGTTAGCAACTAAATTTTAATCGTTTTATTACATATAATGATCAATAAGGCAATCTATATTTAGTAATTCATGATAACAGGACCAATTAGAAGAACGAATGGAATTAACTTTGTTTAAAGGGCAAATAGCTCTTACCTCTCTATGGGAATATAATGTAAAGATATTCAATGCGAGATAACTGTAAACTACGACAATGCAAGTTGTAAATTTTCTATAATCCTTTAGCTAAAGTTTGAACAAAACCTTTCGATAAAGGAATTTATATGTTAAGTATTAATCCACGGAAAATGTAGACTCACATTGAACGGCTCAGACTTTCATTTTAAATTTGTGTAATAAAAGTTTAACTCGTATGTGGGATATATTTAAATGGTGAGGCAATATCGTTCCGCGCGTTACGAGAGCATCGCATCGTTGCATCGTCATGGAGACGACGGCGATTAAACCTCCAGAGGAAGTAGAAGTTTGAAGGAAAGGATGGGACGGTACCTTGGGCGGTTTCCGCTCGAGGAAATGTACCATTGTTGCTAACCAAGGCAATATCATGGCACACAATAAAGTGAATTATGTTATACTAGAATATTATTATTTACATTAATTTGCAATGTTTCGATTTTCAATTCTTTCAGTATATCTTTTAATTATTATAAAACGATGGATTATAATAATTGGAGAAAGGCTGATTTACTTTTTAAAGAATTGTAGGTAAAAAAAAAAAAATGAAAAGGACTTTAAAACTTTGTACTAAAGGATTATCGCCTATCGAACCGCGACATCAAACGGGTATTTTGACATCAAGATCTTCCCATGAGAGAAATTACTTTACTTTAGTTTTACTACCGAACCGCAATTTTGTCCTTAGGTGTATCGTGAACAGGCGTAAATACTTCAGAAGGTTATACTCACATAAAATTGGACAAAGAGGAAAGTCCCTATTTTCCGAAGTCTAATTCTCAATTGTATTCGAGATATTTCACTTTTCAGGTTACTTCAATCTTTCACAACTTTATTCGGAAAGTTTCCCGTATCTCATAAAATCAATAATCATTCTGTAAAAATATACAAAACCACTTAAAATGTAACTTTTACTACTTTGCAAAGCGGGAAGACTTTATCATCACAGTTTCCGCTCTAACT